AGCCTCACCCCGACCTCCCCCTCCAGCCCCGTCCATCCCCTCCCCCTGCCCAGCCCCAGCTCTGGGGATGTAAGTAACGATGGGGGAGACGGACAGTTCAGAGGGTTGGAAACCCCCGTCACACACAGTCCTATTGGCACCCCAAGACCTCCACAAACACGTCCATTAGTTTGTTGTCTCCATGTGATTCTCATCAGTCATCAGTTGATTTTTACTTTGATTCAGCCTTACAAAGTGAACAGTGTCCTGTAGCCCATTAATAACTACTACTCAGAACACATTCTAACTTTTCTGTGGGTTAATTAACACACCATGTCCATTAGACATAAAAACGAGGCCAACTGTAAACTAAACCGAACCAGATCATGGTGCCTCCCCCTGCCTCTCCACAGATGGATGGTGGGGCTCAGCTGGGCAGGGAAACTGATTGGTCCAATTCTTCCTCACAGGGAGACATCCATGAGGATTTCTGCACTGTGTGCAGACGCAGTGGCCAGTTGCTCATGTGCGACACGTGTTCTCGTGTTTATCACCTCGACTGCCTGGATCCACCCCTGAAAACCATTCCTAAAGGCATGTGGATCTGTCCAAAATGTCAAGATCAGGTAACCGCAGCAGCCGTGACTGATCCTGAGTCAGGGGGAAGGGGGTACCGCAGTCCAGAGAGGGGCCAATCAGGGCCAGTAGCTGTACTTAACTGTAGAAAACTGCTTCTGCTGACACTGTCCTGAACGTTAGGACTGTTCAATCCTTTGTAAGCATATACATGATGCAGTATTGTTTTTTTGTGCTTCTGTCCCATTCATTGTGTCAGTAAAGATTGGCATCTCACATCCATCCACTCCATTGCTTGTCCCCTCTTGGCCTCACCACAGGGTGGCGGCTTAATTTTGTCCTCCTCAAATCTTCTCTTAAGTCTTAGCCTTTGTGACAACTGCGAGCTTCTCTCTCCAGATCCTGAAAAAAGAAGAAGCCATTCCCTGGCCTGGTACTCTGGCTATTGTTCATTCCTACATCGCTTACAAAGAAGGTGACGTCAGATTATCTTCCTCTCTCAGATGTCCGCTGGGACAGGTGGTGGACGGTGAGGTTAACAGTTTTATTGTTCTCTGCTGCAGCTAAAGAAGAGGAGAAACAGAAGCTGATGAAATGGAGTTCTGAACTGAAAGTGGAGCGAGAGCAGCTGGAACAGAGAGTCAAACAGCTCAGCAACTCCATAACGGTAACAAACACAAGAACCAGTTCCTTTTTAGATCCAGTTCCAGGTTCATAACTGACTGATTTACGAGAAACAAACAGCAACTGATAGAGCTCCAGAGCGTTGGTAGTAATCAATATTCTAAGCTTCGACAAGGCTTGACTTCAAATCTGATTATCCATCCAAGAGACAGACGCCATCCACGACTAATTAACTCGTCTGTGGGAGAAATAAATGCATCAAGGTCACAGTTTATGATTAAATCGTTCTGAATCAGGACCTCTTTAGAGCAAAGTAACTGATGAAAAATAAGGTGTGAAAAGGTAGACAGTTTGTATTTTCTGCTGCTCATCTGAAGTCAATTTGTACTTGCCCTTATATTATTGTATATTTTATTTATTATATATAGACCCTTTTAGCTGATCCAGTTTCCAGGATCATTGAAATGCTTGCTTAAGCTTCAGCTCATAAACTCTGTCTTACTCGCACACCGAGTGCCCGATCGGTCGAGTGCCCGATCGGCCTCCCGAACAGCAGAACCAGGTGTGTAATAATTAGACTGAGGTGGACTTGTGGGACACACTGCTAGTAGTAATAACGATTGATCCTATTTCTAGAAGCACAGGAACTTGAGATAAATTATTTTTGATCATCCCCTAAAGAACATCCGATGCCTTTAGTCAAATCTAACCTTGTTGTTGTTCCTCCATCAGAAATGCATGGAGACCAAAAACACCATCCTGGCTCGTCAGAAAGAGATGCAGCTTTCCCTGGAAAAAGTCAAACACCTGATTCGCCTCATCCAAGCCTTCAATTTCAACCAAGCTCTGGCAGAGACAGAGGGTAAAGACGTCAGTGCCAGAGTCCAGGACAGTGCTGAAGTTGCAGTCGGCTCTGAAGCTGCGCCAGAGGCTAACTCTGTAGAGAGCGTGAAGGCTGGGAGCTCCTCAGCCAGCAGCAACACCGATGGAAACAACAAACCAGAGGAGCACGGAGCCGCAGGGAACAACCAGACAACAGGAGCAGCAGGAGGAGACACCGACAGCCAGCCTGTCCCTGAAGACAGCGCTGTCCTAACAGCAGATAACAGCCCCAGTGTAGGGGCAGGCGGTAAGGTGGAGCCTGTTGACGGGGCAGTGGCGGGGGGAGGGGGTGACACAGGGACTGGTGTCCAGGCGGAGGTTGTGGCCAAGCCTGAGACTGAGGCAGCTCCGGTGGTTGACATTCCCACTTCCTCAGTGGTCGCGACTGTTGCCACCACCAACGGTACAGCCGAACCGGCCTGCCCTGATCACAGCCCCGCAGGAGGCTGCGCCACCAACGCCACCACCAACTCTGAGAACAAGATGGCTGCCGCCAACCCTCCTCCAGAGACAGCAGTGGAGAAGAAACAGGAGGAGATCTCTAACAGTGACGGCAGCAACAACAACAACAACAGCAAAACCTCAGAACCCTCCCAGCATTCTTTGCCAGCTCTTGTCAGCAGTTTGGACAATAAAAAGTAATGCTATGTCTCTTGAGTTGCGGGAATTCAAACATATATATTAAAAAAAAGACTTTTGCTTGCACCGTACGGTGCCCTGAAGTTGCCAATCTGTATAAATGTTGTTTGTTTGCATTGTATTGTCAGACTGTGTCAATGGTAGATATACAGCCCAAGTCACATGGCTCTGGGAAGACGTAGGCTGTTCCACCCACAGAGCTGGGGTATAGGAAGGCTTACGAACCAGTGTCATCATGCCAATTAGTGATAGACGTCAGTGGTGGGAATGCTCAAAGGGAGATTTAATCCATCATCACACCAGTGTGTGCCTGTTATAGTGGCCCCTGTGTTCTCTTGTGGGGTGGGGAGATGGGTTCGCATGGGTATGGAGAAAACCGAGAACCAAACATCTGTCAGGGGTTACTGGTCTAAGAAGCAGTGTTGTGATAGAGTAATGAAAAGAGAACCTGTTCATCCCCTTGTCCCAATGAACTTAATGTGAACAACCTTTAACTTCTTCAATCCCACGACCCTGATCTCTTCCTTTGAACAACCCTAAACCTTACCCAGTGTTTCTAACCCTTAACCCCGATCCTCCTGATCTTAACTTCCCCCATTAACCAACAACTTCGACCATCTTCAGACAACAAAAACCTTTTTTCAAATCTTTCCTATCCTTCCCCAGTCCAACAATCTAATGTGGCATCCCAAAGGTTCAGATGCTGTTAGACGATCCAACAAAGACTTTGTTTGAAGAATACCCTTAAACAAACGACCCTAACTTCTCCATCAACCTACAACTCAGTCGTCCTTAGACAACAGAAAACCCCTAACCCAAATTTACCTTCCTCAGTCCAAAAATCTAACGCGACCTTCCTCTTAAACCCAAAATGGCTCAGTACAAAGTGCCGTCCGAATTCCTGCTCTAGATGGCGAGGGAGATGCCTGCTGTTGTAGCAAGGGGCAAGATGCGATTAATCCTAGAAATGGGGATAATGGAGTCCACTTTTGGACATTCATTGTGTTGTACTTGGTTCATCCCAAAAAACTTGTTGGATTGTCGATCTAGGAAAGTAACAATGGCAACGTCAGAGAGGTCTTGGGGGGGCTGAGGTTTCAGACAAGCACTTCATTTGAAGCCTTCTGGCACATTTACACCAGCGTCCGGAACTTTCCCATTAACCAGTGACTGTCTTTAGACAACAGAAAACATAACATGTCTTAACGACAGATAGCAGTAACCTTCCCCTTGGGACGAAATGTACCTTCCGCAGTCCACCAACAATTTTAAGTATTCTTCCTTCTCAACCCAAAAGGAATCAGTATGCTTCAAACCTAGTTTTTTCTTATCCGATCAGTTCAGAAGTTGGGAAAGGTGTGGGGCACTTTATTCTCTTTATTTGATCTTTTATTTGATTTGATTCCTACCTTCCATATCAGCCTACAACTTAAACCGTGTTCATTCAAACAAAAAACATCAACGAAACAGCCTTCCCCTAGTGACTAAAACCCAATCTTACCTTCCCCAGTCCGCCAACAATCTATCGTACTCTCCCTCTTCAACCTTTAATCAGATGCTGTTCAACGATCCAACAAGTACTTGAGGTTTACTGATTCCTTTCAACCAACGTCCCTAACATCCTATTTGCTTAAATGTATTCATTCAACAAAAATCAGCCTTCCCCCAATAACTAAAACCCAAACTTACCTTCCCCAGTCCATCCTACCCTGTCCCAGTTGACCAATAACCAAACGTCCCCATCAACCAACAATCCCAGTTAACTCCCCCTCCCCCCATCTCTTTCCCCACTCGTATCCCTGAGCTCAGGCAGAAAGGATGCTGAGCGTCGTGTTCAGCAGGTACGGAGGACGAGGCGAACAGGCGCGGTAGCCTAACAGATGTTTTCAGTGGTGTCGGTCAAGTGTAGTGATTGAGTTTTCATTCGTGAGTCAAGTGTGTCAACTGTGAGCACTAAATGTGAAATTGCAATATTGCAATGTCAACACACACAAACTATATCTGGGCTGTGTTTCTTTTTTATAGGAAAAGATATTCAGGTCTTCCTAGTCTTCAGAATAAGTGCTTTCTGTTCCTGAACCTGCTGGACTGGCATTATCAACACAAAAAGGAATCCTCTTTTTGAAGTGGTGATCTTTGCATTATGTACATTTCTGTTGAATCCTGAACTGCCAAAATGATGTTGTATCCAAATTCAGCAGGGACAAGTCCACTTACTGTATTGAAAGATCAAATCATTGGCGTTGTAAGATATAGATGCTACCATTTCAGAAATTGGAAGTCCCCAGATTGAGACAGGAGAGCTTATTAAACAATAACATTAAAGGAACTTTTTTTTCCTTGAAATGGAGGGATTTGTTGTATGAACCTGCTCCTTCAGACAGATCTCAAAGGACAATACCACAAATCCTGAGATTAAAGCACAAGCTTGCTGCATTACAAAGAAGTGCTGAAGAGCTTTTTGTATGTTAATATGGAATTAAACAGAGTATGCATCTCTTTGTTGTGATGTGACTTATCCCCACATTGCCAATATTTTTCTAGGAGGAAATACAAACCTCTGTCTGACATTAAGGCTCAAGTCTAGTTCATATTTTTGGGGAGGAATTGCTGGGCTTCTGTCTCAGAAACCCCTTCATCCCCTCACAGTTAGACTAGTGCATCTCTTTTCTTTCTGGAGCATGTCTGGGCTGAAATGTGATGCTGTTATTCGTTGGCTTGGTGGCTGTCAGTTCGGGTCTGTCTTTGTCTGGTGAACTGATCATGACTTCTGGCTTCTTGTTGGGTACGGGGCATTAACAAACTCTGGTCTGTTCATTAACAGTGCCTCTGGTTGTGCTGGAATCTTTATTTATGTCTTTCTTTTTGCAATATTGGAGCGTTTTTGCTGAAATTGTAGTCGCCTGAAAACGTATTCACCCCCGAGTAGCGTTGAAAGTTCTGTTATTGGTGTTCAACTCTTCAACCTGGATGTTTTATGTGGAAGATTATCTCAAAATGATTTAATTTGTCTTACCGCTTTTTATTTATGAGGGATTTGTAACCATGCTAGTGGCAACGTCGGCCTCAACAACTATAGAGTGCAGCAGGGACAACGTCTTTAGCAGGAAGTTAGCATCGCCCTGGTTCCTTCAACAAAAAGCTAATAGGATTTTTCCATTTGATTATTGGGGTATTTACTTCTGTATTTTAGACTTTATTTCACTACAGACTTTATTTCAGACATCTACTAAAAACCCATCAACTTCAAGGTGAGGGAACCAGGGGAGCTAAAGTGCTAACTCATTTTTGGGTTAGGACTCATTCCTGCAGCACTCAGTTGGAGAAATCACATGAAAGTTTGCACAGACGGATGAATCCTACTTTTCATCCAGCGCCAACACAAAGTTCACACCTTTGGCTTTTAGTGACATATCTCAACAACTATTGGATCAAATGTCATGAAATTTGATCCAACTAACAACTAATAACATTCCCATCTGTCTTAGCTGCACTTTGCTTTTAATTCTAATTAGCAAATGTTCATATGCTAAATTAAGAAGGTGAACATGGTAACCATTAGCATGTTAGCATTGTAACTGACCCTTCTTAAGTCCCTTCTATAAAAACTCAGCTTTTTCCTTTCCTTTTTTCCCAGGGTGGCGGAGTCATGACTCGCCCTAGCTTGCATCTGATTGGCTTGTACTCGTTGCCTTCGTTGGTTGGAGTGGTTAGGTTTAGGCATGAGGAGTGGGGTAAGGACATCAGTGTAAGCCAGTCAGAGGTAGAGTAGGGCGGGTCATGACTTCGCCATCCTGGGGAAAAAACATTGCTTCCTGTACTTTACTATGCTACGTGCTAGGCTAATGTATGTTGAAAAGACAACCACATTTTGAAGATAATTAAAAAATAAAAGAGACGTATATTCCCATCATCAATTGTTAGCTAGCCTTTGCTAACATTACTGTCTCTTTAAACCATCTTCAAAGTGCAGTCCATCCCAGAAGTTGCGACGTTCGACTAATCCCAGTGAATTCTGTGCAACCTTACAATTTTGCCCAATCACTGCAACTTTTTTACAAATTTTTGCAATCGTAGTTTCAAGGTGATATGTCTCTTTCATGGTAAACCATACGTCACCAAAACTCACTTCTTTCTTCTAGTTGTGAAAATGCAGACGTGTGATGCTAACGTCTCACATTTTCCCTCCAAACTGTGATTTGTATTCTCACTGGAAGAAGAGAAGTTTTTTCAGTTTCTCACTCAATTTTATTGCAAAAAAAGTGCTTCATAATTAGTTTTTTTTTTTAAAGCTGCTGTGAAATCAGGAATTTAAGGCCGCAACAAATCCTGGAGGGACTGCCGTACACAGAACAAAAAGGGGCGGGGCTCAGGAAGGGTCAGTTGTGAGGATTTTAGCATGTTGATGTTAGCATTTAACT